GGAAAATCTCAGACCGAGAACTTGCGGCATACAGCAAGGTCAAGGTTTGAGATTTTCTCGTTAACACCGAACGTTCGAGGCTAATAAGTTGTTTATTATATGGCTTTTGCTTTGTTTTTGCAAGCCCGTAATCGGCCCTTGGACATTACGTAGGAATAACGCCCTACAATTAGCCAATCAGAACGCGCGTTATATCGGCTACAAGAACAAGCCATATAATAATGATCCCTTAATCGTGCTCCTTTACTGGCCCTTGATTTTTGCACCTCTGTTAATCCTCTTTTGGCCATTGATGTGTGAATCGCTCTCAGCCCCATCAGCATGTTCCTTTACTGCGTAAACTTTTGCAGGTCTCCTGGTTACGTTTTCTCAATCACTCCTTAGTCAAGTCAAAGTCAAATTCTGATTACCTAAAATTCATTATTTGCAAAATACTAATTTACTCACCAACGGCTTCATATGTGAGGTTGAATCCCTTCTTGGAGACTGAAAAGTCGGTGTTAAATTTGATCCACATCACGTTACCGGAAGCCATGACTGAGTAGTTGTTATTATCACCAGACAGTCCACCAGTAGGGGTAAGAAGCACAGAATAGTCTTTCTCTCCATCCCTTATTTCCACCTCGTCGCGATTTCGTTCTAACAAAAGAACAAACAATTAAGCTCATATCAGTGAATGGGGAAAGTTTAGAACTCCCTTATAAAATACGACGCATGAATCCGTGAAATGGTTCTTCATTGATGTGCACAATGAAAGGAAGACGTCACTTAGAATGATTGCGTTTGTTGACAGATTTAGTACTTCTCTCTTTGACATGGACAACACAAACGAAAGGGAGCTTGATGTTGGCGGGGAAAAGAAACTTGATTCTCTAAGGTGTTATGTCATTCAAAATCCGTTATTACGCCTCTTTCTTCGCAATAAAATAAATAACGAAATTACAATACTTAGAGAGGAAGCCACATCGGCCTTAGCTGGTTTTCATGCAGGTCCTATATCCTGGTCGAAACGGTAATTGGAGTTTTAGTTTTTTGCGGAGGGAAGAAAACCGGAGAACCCGGAAAAAAACCCTCGGAGCAAAGCGAGAACCAACAACAAACTCAACCCACATATGACTACGGGTCGGAATCGAACCGGGTTACATTGGTGGGAGGCGAGCGATCTTACTACTCTGCCATTCTCGTTTAGCTTGGGACGTAGTTTTACTTTTTATTTTTTACCTTTCTACCTTAGAGAACAAAAATTTTGAGAGTAATTTTGCAAGTTGAAGGCAGTTATGTACATTCAGCATGACAAAGCTTCTTTAATCTCACCAGTTCGAAAAGATTTGAAAGTGACTTTTGCTCGCGTCCCAGGCAAGAGTTTTAAAACCCAGATGCACTCGGTGTTATGAGAATAGTCGTTTGGAAAATCTGGCGATGTAATCCAACCCGTTCTGTGATTGCCGCCAAAGAATTGTTGAGTGATTCTATAGTGCCACTGGAGAACAAAATAAAAACGTCTTGTGCAACCTGAAAAATTACAACCAAGTGGAGTGTCAATACCATGTCGATATCGTGGACACCCTGGATAGAAGCTCATAGTACATTATGTAGATACAAAGGAAGCCCTCGTAAGCAGACACCTACGGGACGCGAAAAAGCTGTCTGTAACTGGAGCTGGCCGCTTACAAAAACAGTTCTCGTAAGCAGCCACTAGAGTTATAAGGGAAAGATGGCCGCTTACGGGAGCTTGCCCAGCTTACAATAAACACCGGGAATTCAAAAACACCACCCCATTATTTATTTATTGTTTTTGTTTCATTGCCTTGTGCAATGCCGCGATAGTGACGATAACTGCATGTACACGATACCGTATACCGTAGTACCACGGCTGGCCCATATGCCTCGTCTACACGAGCAATTGTTATGTGACAATTTTTCTTTGCTCGAGTAGATGAGGAAAATTAGCCAATTTTTACGTGACAAATACATTTGCTGAAAAGCTGGCGTATTGGCTTTTATGTAACGAATAAAAATTGTCACATGAAAATTGCTCTTGCAGACGAGGCTTAGTGATTTTAAAAAGAACAAATTATGATTGCAGCCAGTCGTAACATCAACACTAAGTCTCACTGCAACAAAAAGCAGTGATACACAAAGGAAAAGTCTAGATCGTAAGCTCTCCAAGTGTCCGCGGCTGCTTATGAGAATGTCCGCTTACAGGAAAGAGTAAATACAGAGTTTGTCCGGGAGAGCAAACGGGGTTTTGTGAAGGTGGTCGTTAGTAGAGCTGTCCGCTTACGAGAGTGTCCGTTAAGAGAGCTTCAACTGCAGAACAGTTACACTTACTTTGTGTCACTGGGTCATGTCCAGGTATTGCAGTGGGCACTATTGCTGGATCTAAGGAGGAGCAAATCAATAAAACGTATAAAAAGAGTAAATTGCAATACAGATTATATGACGCTGCACCTGGAAAGCACTCAGTGGGAACGCGTTGACGGTAAAAACATCCCTGGCTGGGTCGATATAACAGATTTTTGCGATTTTATTTCTCCACTTTCCCTTAGTTTTAGCTTAGATTAGAGAGACACATCAGTCATGAAAGACCGATACATTAATCATGTTAAACCGCATTTCCAAGCACCTCAAAGTTCGTCAAAAATACTCCGCTACGCGTCGTATTTTCAACTCTCTTGTCGGTGGTTGGAAATGGGGTCAGACACGATCTTTCTTGTTTGATATATTACTTCGTGTAGTTTGTAATTTAAAAAACCCTTCTTTAAAAAGAGAACGCTTCATTGCTCGTTTGTTGTTTCTGAGCTACGCATAAAGTGAGCGACGCCTTAACGAATATTTTTCAAAGAAAAAAAAACTGAACTCATTCATGTGAGCTTTTGCATCGTATAAGAGCAGAGGTAAAATTCAGTCATTAGTCAATAATGGCAGAGATTCCGCCGATCGGTGCGCATGTCATACCACTCATCATAACGTTTCTTATAACAGGCATTGAAATGGTTTCTTTAATTTTAAGTAAACGAATGAAATCCTCACCAGTATTATAGACAGAGAGCGCCCATGGTCCTCCACAGATTTTTTTGGAGTCTCCAATGCATGGAAGATTACACGAGGAAGAATTACCGTATCTATCATACTGTAAACAAAAACGGGATAAATATGAAAACAACTCAAGTCGCAATGGTTTCATCCCCAAACAAGTGGAGATTGTCATAACATAAGGGTCCAAAATTGCGCTTTCCTGGTCGCCAATACGACTAAAAATTTTGCACTGGCGACCAGAATTTCACAACTGGTCGCCAGCGGGCGATGAACTATTTCATGCCACGATAATTACACAAACAATAACTTTGATTTTCAGCCAAATCGATTAAAATAAAATTCAAAGCCAACAGCCAATTGGTCACTTCCTTTTTACCTTTCCGCTGCTTTTGAAGTATAAAACCGATTTCCCTGTTATTATAAATCTACCACAATGTTTTACAGCTACGATCAGTGCGAAGCTTCGCCGCCATGTTCTTTTAGCGGTTTCCCATAACATACGTATTGCGGGCGCAAGAGGCCCCATGCGTTCTTTCGCCATGAATATTTATTCAGGCGATGTGGTGTCCAAAGATGTTCTGAAATCTTTCCGTAATTTATTACAAAGTGGAGACGGAACGTCCGCGAAGAAATTAGATGAAGATTTTGATATTCTCTGGGCGTCAAAAGGTGGAAATATAGATCTGTCAAAGTGGTCAAAAGATGATTTCAGCACTGGTTTGATTCCTGATTACATCGATTGCAAATATTTTGCCGGCAAGTCCGTGGCGACCAAAAATTTTGGTTTGTGTTGCGCTGCAAAGGAAAAATTTTATTGACACTTTTTGGCGACCACATTTTTCCATATGGCGACCGAAAAAAAAAATTTCAGTCGCCAGTTGGCGCCTGCCGAAAAAAGTTAATTTAGGACCCTGAACATGTTTCATACAACAGTATGCGGCATTCATGGAAAGAAGGTATGACTTCACCATTCTATTAACTTAATTATATTGTACTTGCATTGGTATGACGTCGTGTTACAGTTTTTCAGTACTTCTTACTACACTACTGCAACTCACGTGATTTCCACAGTAACACTCATTAGCCCATTCCACGCCTGCGTACTTGAAGCCCTTGCTTTGGCAACGGCGCACACACTTCACAGGGGTCATTGCTATTAATTGACGGAAAATGTTGGTCAGTACAACTGTTTCTATAAATCAAGAAGAAGGTTTGTATAGCAGAAAACACAAACATTTTTCGCCTTCCTTTTATGAATAACACAAATCTTTGTACAACGTCGAAAAAAAACGCAATTGCTTTCATTTTTCACCACCACATGAGAAGACCGCGTCATTCACACGAAAAAAAAAATGCGTACGATCTCTTAAAACCCTCATTAGCGATGATAATTAACAGTCATCGCGCGTGTCGCGCGCGTTGAACTTATGACCATGACAAGTCCGCGCGTGTGTCACGCGCGTAGTGCAAATTAATATTCCATAACTTGGTTCGGAAAATTGAGCATTGTTCTCACTTGGTGCAGTGAATTCGTGAGTCATGACATGATCCCGTGTGTCTTTGTAGCAGCCGACATAAGCTTCATCTGAAAAGGAAAAAACAAACAAAATTAACAGCTATTTCCGTGATAACTGGGAATAATTTATGGTTAAAACGCTTCACAGAATTAATAGCCCTTGAAGATTTAGAAAATACTATCGCATCTGCAGGAACTTTGGTCTTCCACACGGCGTAGGAGGTGCTTACATCGTTCAACTAACTAACTAGCTGGGTGTAGAAAATACTCCTTGAGCTGAAAAATCAAGCTTGAAATACAATTCATCCAGGGCCAGGTTGCCGGTTCGAAAGCAGGTTAACGCTAGCCCAGGATAACAGTTGACCGAAGTACTCTTGTCTAAGGGTTTTCACTGCTTATGTTTTGTGTCGTTTGAGATTATTCAAATTCAAAACTGAAGTACAAGCAATATCAACAGAAAACCTCACAGAAAAGTTACAAAACTAAAATCAAAATTCTTGCTAATCCTGGGTTAGCTTAATCGGGCTTTTAACACCCTGGCTCCGTTTCAAAAGCCTTCAGTTAATAAACGCATAACTTCGTTTTCACAGTACGACAGATCGATTCTTCCTGAATGCGAGGATTAGGAGAGAGACTGCAAAAACTTAAAACTAACATAGCAAAAACAATGTTGTGACAAAAACGAAAAAATGAACTGAATAAAATCAAGCATTTGAAGAAAGGGGAAAAGGGAAAGGCAAGTATCCAAAATATCCCAAAAGTTTCTTGCTTGTTTCATTTCCTGAACTGAGCAACTCGCTCAGGAAGTTGTTGCGATCGGAAAAAGAGAAGAACGAGAACCAGTGAGATCAGGATACAACGCAGATCGAGTTGAGAAACACAGCTAATGGTTAATAAACAAAATCATATCGCCTACCCGAGCATATAACACCAACATCTTCCGAGTGTCGACAAGAACTCGATCCCCACTGAGTATAGCGACACTTGACGAGGGCAGACTCGTTTCCATAGCAGTTAACTCTACTCAGCCACACTTTTCCAGCGCCGGGTCCGAAACTCTGCGAAACTTTTCTCACGCTTGTGAAACCAAGTTCAAAACAGACAACTCTAGCGTTCTCTGTCTTCCAGCCGTCATCACAAACTGTACCCCATTCTCCCCGGTGAAACACCTCAACACGGCCTTCTTTTTCAGAGCTGCCGCCGCGAAGTCGTATATTTCCTTCGGCAGTTCCTTGCTCTACAACACACAGAAAGGAAAACAACTTAACTACTGTAACACACAAGAGGCACGATCTGACCTCATCGCTCCGGCGGTTCTACGCCCTGGCAAGTGACATTGATGTGTCATTGAAAGGAACACTCCACTCTTACAATAAGGCTCCGTCCACTCTATGTCAGAGAAATTTGAAAACGCAACAAACACCGGTCATTTTGGAAGTGTGTTTGAGGAAATTCTGGTAGGGAAATCACACGATTATCAAGACTTCATCATTTTCGAAAGGCTCCGTTTTCGAAATGTTTTCCGTCTACACTGAAACGCAAAAGCCGGCGTTTCAAATTCCTCCAGTTTGAAGAGCGTTTGCGAAAAGCTCCGTTTTGTGACGGATTAGGTGGATAGTAGGCCTAAGCTGAGAAATAAAGCTGCGTTTTCAAATTTCTCCGGCGTAGTGTGGACGGAGCCCAACTCTCTCCAAGAGTTCGACTTGTCGCACTAATTCTTGTCACACAATCCTTACTCTCCGACGATAGTGCACAAAAACCTGCGAGACGTGACATTATAAAGATTGCGTGACAACTGAAAGCACGATTGTTTGAATCGAAAGCTGAGCAATAACAAGGTAAATGATGAATTAAAGACCAACATACCGGTACATACAACACCAGCATATCCATAGCTACAGTTTCCCACACTCCAACCATCATGATCACAATCTCCCAGCGTATTCTCGTTTCCTTTACACCGCACCTTTTTCAACGAACTCGTAATCCCCTTGGCTGTTTCGCGTGTGATACGATCAGCACCAGAATTTCCCAGCTGACGGCACGCCACAAAGGCATCATGGATATCCCAGCCATCGAAACATATGGCTTCCCATGAGCCACTGTAATAAATCTCCACTCGTCCACTGCGTGTACCATTACCATCTCGAAGCCTCAAAGCTTTTGTTGCACTGCCACCATCTTTTTAGAAAAAATAAACTATGTGACTGTTTTTCACAATGTTGACGTGTTGACATTGTAAGCAGTTGATACGGTTTGTCCAATTTAAAAGAAATTTATAGAGGACTAAAGAACTGCACGCAATGGCAAACTAATTAAACAAGTTGGCAAAGCGACTCATCAATTTTCATCAATTCAAATATCCACCAGATTTACAACGAAAATATTCCAGACGCACTTGAAACAATTTTACAGTGCGAGTACTCTGACCAAGGCCAAAGCAAATTCTTTGCAAATTGACCACTGGCATTTTAAAAGTTTTAAAATTGTTACTAATGAAACTGACCACAAATCTGTTGCCTTTGTAATGTACAGCTTGATTACATTGATGATTTGTTGGAAAACTATTGTTAACCTCCACGATTTTTATTCGTTAAATTTGTAGAAAATATTGTCGGGCGCCTAGGTTAGAGTTGTTGAGCTGTAAAACGCAAATTTTTGCAAGATAATTAGCTCCTTCCCCCATCCCGTCAAATAGCTCCCGTTCCTGTTACCTGTGTCGCAAACAACGCCGGCATCTTGTGCGTGAGTACAGTCATGGCTCCCCCATCCATTGTGGGAACATTGACCAAGGTTAGTCTCGCTTCCGTTACAGGCGAGGTCATCCAACCAGATCGGTCCCCGCCCTTCACCAAAATAGGACTTTTTATGGACAATCTTCACTCCTGCGTACCCTAACTGTTTGCACACAACTTGGGCGTCGTTAGGACCCCAGCCGTCATGACAAATCGTGCCCCAGGCACCTACACGGTACACCTCGACGCGCCCTTCAAATGAGCCATCTTTACCATCCGTTAAACGAACGTCGTAATTCTTGTAGATGTGCACGGCTAATTAAAGAAGGAAGATCAGCAGCATTGTAATACAGCCTGTGGCTGTGGTAAGCAAAGATGTGTTTTTTGCTTGTGATGTGCTAACTAACCGTCATATCACAAACAACTTCAAAAGAAACGTTAACAAACACAAAGAAGTAAATAAAACTCAAAAGTAACATCGGCAATTGAAAGACGTAGACGTACCAATAACGTGCTGCATGTAATGTGGTTTTTCTTTCTTTCTTCTTACTTATATTTTATTTCTAGGCCCGCTGTAATTGGCTACTTGGCTGTTGCCATGTCCCTGCCAAATCTCTACATATTGATTGTAATGTTTTTTTCCCCTTTTATTTGTATCATAAAGGCAAAGCTAATATAATATAATATAACATAACATAACATAACATAACATAACATAACATAACATAACATAACATAACATAACATAACATAACATAACATAACATAACATAACATAATATAACATAATGAAATGAAATGAAATGAAATGAAATGAAATGTTATCAAAATAGCACGTAAATGCAAAGGCCTTTGATTCATGACAGATAATTGAAGAGGTTATGAAGGAAATCGTCATTAAAACTGAAGTTCAATTTTGTGTTTGTCTGTGCTTTGAAAGGTGATAGAGTATGCCCAGAAGCGAAGGAATTAACTGAACAAATTACAAAACAGACGAGCGTTTTCTGGTGCAACACCATCGTGTGCTAAAGCCAGTGCTACAACATCAGATAACACACAGTTCCTTACCTTCTGACGGGTAGCACTGGGCCGAGAATGATATGTCATCAATGGCGATATCACTATGGAATGTCGCTCCTCTCTCAGCTTCAAATATAACCTAACAAAGGGAAGGGTTACTCATTAGTTAATTCATGAGAAAATGTATGGCAGTATGTAACATCATTCCAAAGCATCATCTGAGAACTACCTGGGACACAGTCCACGTTGTGTTTATGGCAACATCAGCTCTAATCCACGAGTTCCCTTGGTCACTAGATTTTTCCCACAAGGGAGCAGTTTCCACGCCAGTGATGGTATTTCTCAGACGAACTCTCAGAGTCCCTATCGACTGTGACCATCCCCAGAGGCCAGTCATGTGGTAATAAAAGCGAAGCTGAAAACCAAAGATTATCAATTAATGCCGAGCAGGACAAAAGCCTACACGCGCATGATACACCTTGGTACGTTGACCAACAATGTGAAATGATCAGCAAATTCTGCGACCACGATTATGGCTCCTGATTTAATGAAAAGTCATTAACACGGTTAATATTTGATGTAACTGTAGCATTGTCACTTCTTCCCAGACTGATCAAAGGAACTTTATTTCACTACGTGTGCAAACGGAAAACATTTGCGTTGTTGTAAGATAATCTTTCTAAAGGACGTAAATATCGTTAAAAATGTCTGACATAAGTAAATTCCCAGTGCTGCTAGATGTTGTTTTGGAGAAAGTTTTGAGTGTTTCAATGTACATTTTGTCACGCAGTTCTTCAACAGCGGCTTAACGCGTTCCGCGAGACACGCACTCCCGAGCTCAAGTGATAACGCAATGCCATATGGGACACGCACTTCCGAGCTCAAGCGATAACGCAATGCCATATGGGATGCCAAGGAAAACGGTTTCGATAGGAAGCTTAAGCAATCACGACAGCGACCGCGACGCAAAGGACGACGCCTAGTAAAAAATGAATTTGTAGTTTACCTTCGAATTTCTTAGATGTCTAGATCTGTTCAGTGCGCCGTACCGGTCTGAGAAATGGCTCAAGCACAATATATGTAAGACCAGCGTTAAATTCCAAATGAAAACACGAAAAATTAGCCACCGTCGTTCACGTTTTCCAAAATACACAGAACAAAGATTTTATAACGCACTTGCACAGCCATTGAAATCACGTGACGAAGACTTACCGTACAGTTGGCCACGTTCTTCCACATAAACTGCGGGCTCATGATCCGGGCTATGTCACCTTGTTTCCGCGGGGAAGAAGCCTCTATGTACAAGTAATAACCTGCAAAAATGCCAACGTACAAAAAAGTGTCAAACTGACCTGTATCGATCAAGTCACAGCTTTATTTCATTACGTCTTTGTAATTTACGACTCCTGAGGTACCGCCCACATGCACTACGCCGGAGAAATTTGAAAACGCCGCATTATTTCTACGGTTAGGCCTACCGTCCACACTAATCCGTCACGAAAAAGAGCTTTCCGGAAACGCTCTTCAAACAGGAGGAATTTGAAAACGCCGGATTTGCGTTTTCGTGTGGACAGAAGACATTTTGAAAGCGGAGCTTTTCGAAAACGATGATTTCACAATGATCATGTGATTTCCTTTCCGAGTTTTCCTCAAACACAAATCCAAACTGACCGGTGATTGCTGTGTGGACGGAATCGAAAACATTTGATGCGTTTTCAGAGTGAAAACGCCGTTTTCGAATTTCTCCAGCGCAGTGTAGACAGGGCATGAGACAGGACACTGGACAGGTTATAAAGTAGAAAGCAGTTAAACATCCCTCCAGCTCATCTTTGTTTTCATTAGCGTGCTCATTATACCAAGCATCGCACCTACCTCCACCTCTATAACCTTTGCTGTGATCGTACATAGGTCCAGTTTGAATGCTGGGAGTGTCTCCAGTGTGTCTCTGCCAGTCGAAATCATCATCTGTCAAATTTTGCCAGTGGCAAAGGTCTACATCAAAGTCGCATCTCCCTGGTGTCTGGAGTCCTGGAAAGTTGTAAGAACTATCAGCACTGCACAAGAGACAAGAGCAGAGCAGTGAAACACACCCAGCGGTAATCTCGTACCAGATACATTAAACATGCTACGCATGCGCCCTCACGCCTTGTTTTACCACAAGGAGGAGGGAGCAAACAATTATAACATGGTGCGCATATTTCATCAGAAAATACGCGCACCTTATGTCCGCTTTGCACCCGACCGCGACAGACTAACAAAAAAGAAAAGTAGCAAAACAAAGCAAAAAGATAACCTACCGCAGTTTAGCTCGTCCGAACCGTCGAAACAGTCATCATTAAAGTCACACTGAAGAGACAAAGAAATACACTCGCCACTTCGACATTGAAAGGTACCGTCCCTACACGCGACGTTTTCTAGAATGTAAAACAAAAGAAAACAGCTCAACAACAATGAGTCTTGCAGAAGCCATACGAAAACAGCGGCGTACTTCTCTCTAAAGAAGACCATTTGATATCTACGACGAGAGGATAAATAACCCTACCATGAGGCGCAGGCCTGCACTCAGGCGTAAACGACACGTCATCAATAGCTATGTCCCCGTGTGGACTGACTCCTCTGTGCTCGCCTTCAAACATCACCTGAAGAAAACAAACAAACAAACAAATGAAAAAAACAAAAAAATCTGAGTTTCCATTCTGTAGTCCACTAACTCTCCGCCCGGATTGGCAGAAATACCGCAAAATTCCCGGCGATAACAAGCTCCTCCCGAAAATAAGACAAAGAAATCTTAAAAGGAAACATCTATCTTCTCCAGATTGTAAGTCCCCTATTGGAAAGATTATTTTCTATTTTACGGAATATGATCATGAAGAGACTCATGAAGTTCACCCAACACACGTTTGGGAAGAGTTGTGTCTTTCAAATCGTTTTGTTTAAAGAGGTTACCACGCGGTAATCTTATATATGCACCTAAAATATTTAGTTCCACTGCTCCGATAATAAACATAGGCCAAGGGAATACCTTTGGAATTATTGCGTTCAAAGGGCAGACCTACTGTTTTAGTTAATGGTACATTTGAAAACAACACCATTATCGCCAAAAATTTGTATCGAATTATAATGTCCATCTATTGGTATGTTGAAAAACTTACATAAAACGACGAAGACATGTTGACAAGAGGTATTTCAGCTCTGGCCCAGTCGATGCCCTGCGAACTGGACTTCGTCCACAGTGTACGCTGAGAATACCGGTCAGCGACTAACACGCGGAGAGCGCCGATCCCAGATCCTTGCATATGATAATAGAACCTCAATTTACACAGCCCATTGTTATCGCCTGTGCATGAAATAAATCATTTATTACCACAAGACTCTTGTACTGCTTTGTAATGTGAAGGTAAATTTAGGTCATGACAGTCAAGGAATTGGCATGTGGCTTGTGCTGAAGCTTATCTGCCAACTTAACTCAGTATATACTTCTAATCTACTTCCAGGTGGAAAAGACCTCGGCAAGAGAGACGCAATCACCCCGGCCAGTCCATTGTGATAATCATTAGGCCTCTGTTTTTACCCAGCTGCTTGGCATTTTTCACTCTTGGATTATCTCGGGTAGCCAGCACCCCTATCATTTTTGTTTTTAATCTATAACCAACATTGTAATGTTTAAATCTGGGGTGAAATAAAAGTTGTTGTTGTTGTCCGCGCCTTCGCCTACATTAGAGACTTTGCAATCAAATTATGACAACTGTAATGGTAGAATAACCTTACAGTCTCTAGCGATTCGTGTGGTGACTAATTGTTACCTTGAAATCTCGGAGTGACGAGCATTCTGGCCTTTTCGCCACCTTGCCGACCGGAAACTTCTATGTACAAATAAAAACCGCCAACATTGCCATTGTGGTCCTTCGATGGGCCTAAAAGAACAGATTATTGACGTGTTTTGTTATGCTAATTGGCTTCATTTACGAGCATTAAGAGAACAACTAACTGCCTTACCGTACTCAAACTCCCAGTTAGCCAATCAGAACTGAGCCGTGTCTAATGTCCTGACATCCTACGATATCAAGTTACTGGCATAGCCGGAACATTCGTGTGCGAATTTGGGTACGGGAAATACCTAATCGTACCTCATCGACTTGTCTTTCTCTTAAAGTTTGCTCGCGCAACTTCAACTGAGAGAATTTTCAAATATCGCTGGTAGTGTAAAACCATAATTACACTCACATACGATTACCGATATCTATTCGACGCCTGATAGACTATATTTCTAGCTTTACTTTGACGCATTTTCGAGGCCATGTATTTCACATGTAAAGGCGTGATATCATCATTTTTTACCGGTATATATGGAGGAAGTACTGCCGTGGTGTCGTGTCCAGTTCATCTGGTCATTTTTCGCCTGCAGCCAGCCGCAGAGGCCCGTATCATTGAAGTCACAACGTGTGTAATTTTCGCAGTGTATTTCGTCGGAGCCATCCCAGCAGTCATTGGTGAAGTCACAGAGTTGAGCCCGCGAGATACACGACTTATACCCACTGCTGTCCGCTGGACAATTCATGTGAGTTTTCACGGGGCATACAGGCAGGATTCCTGAAAAAAGTTAAGAGTTTAGAGTTTCTGAAGGAAGAATGTGAACTATTTTCATTGAAGCTGGTTGATTAATCTTTTTAACACCACATCTAAAACAAGCGGCAGTTGAAAAGACCCGCTTGTTTAAAAGAGTTGAGTTGATAGTGCTAAAAAGTAATTGAGAATTGTTGACAACAGATGCGCAAAACATATGGGCCGAACTCCCAGAGGTTTCAAACATTTCGCAGTTCGAGATAACAAACCAGATGACCGCGTACTTCAAATTCAAAATGGCCGCCAAAAAAGAGGAGATGCGTCGGTAACAGGTAAAGTTATCTTTTATTCTTTTAANCTGCGTGCAGAGAAGGAAACTATTAATCTATAAACTGATGAAAAGTTGCCATTTCTCGCTCACCTGAGCAATTCAATGTGATGGCGTTGTTGTTTGGACACATGGCATTGTTAGACCACGCCCCTAATGCGCAATCTTTGATTGACTTCTCGTCGCCTTGACAGCTGACATTGTACAATCCGGTAAACGAACCGCTCAGTGGCGAGCCTAAGAAAGCCACACAAACAATATCAGCAAGGATCAGTAACTACTGTAAGAATCAGAAAGGCGTTTGGCAGGCAGGTCAGTTTCGTATTCGCACTTAAAACTGAGTACAATGGCTACAAGAGACTAGAGCTATCGACTGTCTTGTGTAAAAACACAGCAAAATAATCCTGGTTAGGTTCGAGCGTTCCACGAACTCAGCATACATGTAGACTTAGCTTCTCTAAATCCTTACGAAGGATAGTCTTTGCTAACCGAAATACTGGTCCCTAATAAAAAATTGAAAGAAAATATCCTTGCATATTTTTTAAGTCTGTTTATTTACACCATTGCTGATTTTTGATTTCCTCGTTCAAGTTGTGCTTTCTTGCCTCCTAAATGATCGCAAAAAATTTGTAGAATGTATTACGAACCCGTGTTCAAATCGAAACAAACACCTTGTTACCTCCTGTTGAGACGCTCTCATTAAATCCCAGTTCCCTGCAGGCCACTGAAGAATCTGATTGACTCCACCCAACATGACAAACTGGGCCCCAGACTCCTTGGTGATAGACTTCCACGCGACCCTCGTTAAATTGCAAACCGTTGGCAAGACGCACATAAGATGGGACTAAATGAAAAAAAAATAATCATAGTTAAGTCAGAAAAAAAGAGTCTCCAGGTAATAAAGCGTGGTAATTGTTGTTGGTGAACCGTGTACTTTAAGCCGTAAAACAAGCACTGACCAATCACAAAGACAGAGACAATCCAGTGAACCAATAAGAACTTGAAGCAAATACCTGTAACTGAAGCAAACCGCGGGAAAACGTCTACGGGCGAGTCAGATTGCTTTTGGCTTTGTTTGTGATTGGATGACAAGGTGGCGAAATGCTTTTAAACCCAAGCAAATGCGACTCTCTTTCAACACTCGAGTAAAAACCGCTCTATCTACTAAAATGCGCGCGATGAAACCGAGAGAATGTAACCAAATAACAAACGCGTCCTACCCAGTCTCTTGCAGCCAGCTGTGAACGAGATATCGTCCAAAGCAATATCACCCTGGTACTGACTGCCTCGAACGCCTTCAATAATCACCTGCAATGTAAAACAGTGACAATGGATATTACGTCTAAGATAAAACAAAAACTGCACTACGCTGACTATTTGTACCATGACAGGCATGAGGTGGACTTTAAGGCTCTATTTAAAAATCAGCGTAGCCTTTGGAATACCTTCAGGTAATCCCATATATGAATACGCCATTTTGAGTACTTTTTACAAAGGTTAGTTTAGTTTTGCTTTGTTCTCTTTTATTTTTTACAAGAAGCTAGGAATTGGGGGAGGGGACAGGACGTACAGGGAGAGGGAAGTGTACAGAGGGAGCGGGAGGGGGGAGTACAGTGGGAAAGTACGTACAGGGGGAGGGGGGAGTACAGGGGGAAAGTAAGTGCGTACAGGGGGGAGGGGGAGTATAGGGGGAGGGGGAATTTCTATTCACGGATCATGAAGGACATTCCAATTCCGCATTTCTTAACCGTTATCCAAATCACAGCAATTTCGCAAAGAAATGGGAGAAACTCAAAAAAACAAAATCGCTGCTTTTTGTTCAGGGACCATAAAAGGTTAAAACAACACAGGCATAACTACCAGTATCAACCGGTATGCCCTTGTTTATGATTTATTGAGCAATGTAAAACGGCCTATCTCAATTTAATTTCTCGAAACCAAGGCGCTCACGTGAAGAATTCAAAGCATTGACTATCTTTTTACTCTACGAACCTGAAATTCTGTGTCACTGTCAAAGTGAACTTGTCGTTTAAACCAGTTTTGACCCTGGTCTGTAGTGATTGACAGTTTCTTGACTGTAAAACCAACAACGGGAGCTTGGTAAATGTTAAGGGCACCGATGTGAGAACCTTTCATGTGAATATACAGATCCATCTGAAAAGTGAAAACAAAACTGAAAATAAAACGCTTGCGTGACTCATGGAGGTGGACTGCGTGACAGTGATGACCACCTAATGCGCATGTGGAAGCATGAGTGACAGTATCGGTTCAAAACAATAGAAATACAGCTTTACATACTTGACAAGTGTTGCTAGGTTGTACTGCTGCCAGTGTTGGACTAACTAGCCGAGCCTTGTGATCACGACGGCGAGGTAACGATGTTTCAATGTAAATATAGTATCCTTCAGCTGTGTGACCAAGAAAAAAGGTTGTTAGTTTATATGTCTACTATGAAGTGTTTTCACATGACGTCACGGCAGCCATGTTGGTGTACTAAACCAATCCTGTGGGAGTTGAACTCTTTTGTTATGTAAGCAGTTTCTCCTGTTCCAATAAATTTGCGAGGTTTACGAAGTACGTAAGGCCACGCGAGTGAAAACGCTCTATTGAAATAAATCTATTTACTTTTGCTGAACACGGAATATGAAGTTGCCATTTTTGTCAAAAACTCTAGTTGCAGGAACCAGAATTTCCAACTTGTGCCACAAATTCAGATTGGTTTGAATTGATAGGACGAGTCCTCGCAACTTGTCCCTGAAAACCCTTCCAGCCGTGAACTCTTTACGGGACTTTCTGTAGGCGCTAGTCGAGGGCACTTGTCCTCTTGAGTGTGTGTCCACCTTAAGTTTGTTATATCGTGAGGTTTATTACATCAGAAGGTATGTTATACCGCAAAGTGCGTTATAGTGCGAGGCTCGTTAAGTCAAAGGTCCATTAATTGTTATATCGCGAGGTTTTTTGTATCGGGAAGATCGTTATAACTGGAAGTCCGTTATATCGCGAGATTCATTATATCGAGAGGTTCGCTATATTGGAAGCTCGCTAAGTAAGAAGTTCGTTATATCTATTTCACGAGGTTCGTTTATCATCGAAAGGTTTTATCTCGCGGGTTTGCAAAGGGGTGAAAAATATCGTCATGATATTCATTTTCCTGAGTAACTCACTTGTTCCTGTGGTTGCATCTGTGTCAGGCCCGGTATTATGCGAGGCTGTCTTTCCTTGGTGCCTCGTCCAGTTAAAGTCTCCGTCATTTAATTGAAACCACTGACAGAATCCTTCTTGGAAATCACACGGCCATATCGACCCACCTGAAAGAGAGAGCATAATGACTGACTGCAGAGAACACGCAAAGCCTATCAGAACACACGTTAAAACAAGAAAGTCCAAGGCATCTAAGTCATGTCTTTTCATGGGCAACTGTGATTTGCAACAAAATGATGTTTTCTTTTGGAAAAAGAATTCTTTCCGAATTAGGAATATTCACTCCAAACTTATTCCCCAGTTGGAATTACATAGGATGAGTGAGGAGAGCAGAATGTGTTACCTGGTGTAACGGTTTTGTTCGCACTTGGTTGCGTTTCATTTTGAGCCTCGTCAACTGCAGTAGAAGGAAAACAAAACGGTTACTTGATAAACGGCCAATCAGCTGTAGGATTCATGGCTTGCCGTTAGATCGCGCTCTACACTGGCATTGAGATTTCAAGGCGTGCCTGTAACAACATATCGCCAGTAGTAATCGCGGGAAAAATCACGTGAGCCAGACCGCTGAAATTTTATTTACGCGTGCCATTTCACAGAAAGTGTAAGTCACGACAACACAATGAATTATGGGTAATGATATGAGGGACGGCCGCTTACATCTTGTGGCATGAATTTCCTTATGGTCCCTAATACATTGATGATCTAAGCGCATGCAGAAAGTGCCGTCCTGTTGGAAAGAAACATTGTCTAATCAAGGCCATGAAAATAGAATTCACTATGAGTAGATGGCTCACCAGCACGCCTCTTTCGCAGAAGCACAGCGTCATCAAAGTCTGAAACTAGAAAAATCAATAACAAGTTTTGTTGCTTGAAATGTAGTAAAATCACCAATTACAGTAGCCCCTGCTTCCCTGAGTTCCACATTTAAATGAAACCTTCACTAATTTGTTCACCAAAGTTTGCTAAACGTTGGAAGTTTATCAAGTCATCAATAGATCTTTTTTCGCTTGGGCAGTTTGTTTTCCCATTACAGACCACGTGATGTTCTCTAGAGAATTGTTCTTTTGTCCATCTTAAAATCATTTATTCATATGCACAGGACTATTTGAAAATGTGAAAGGAAGAATTCTCAAGAGTATCATCACAAGGTCTGAAATGGGGCAACAAACTGCCCAGTCAAAAAAGGTCTATTTTGCCACGTATTCTATGGATTATTTTGGTTTCATTGTTTGCTGGTTATTTTGATTTTTCTGTATGCTGGATACTCGAACCCTCACAATTTGTCACATGCTATTTTTTTCACTTCCTTTTTGATTAGTGCATTTTTTGGTCGGTTATTTTCAGTATGGTACGCCTGAAAATGTTACTGAAATCCACACAACTCAGGCCATTCAGTACATTTTATTTTACTGGTTTAATTTCACCTCATTACTTCAGTTTCATCATTTTCAGTTATGAAGAATTGAAGGAAAAGCCAGGCCACATAATTAGAGACAATTGTTTTTGACCAACAATCACTTAGTTGTTAGGAGGGGGTGAATAGGGGTATGCAAATCTGCCGATCCGTGCTTTTTTTTCATCAAATCCGTCGATCTGCCAATATTTTTGTTCAAATCCAAAACCACAACCCCATGCGGAAACAGAAAATATTATGTAAAAGCTCAGAGGTAAACTGGTAAATGTGAATACCAGTGTAAATTTCACCCAAATAGTAATTATAAAAGAAGGCAATATGCTTGCTGACTTTCACATAGTACAATTCCAATAAAAGTCTGAAACCTGAAGCTTCGTTCGAAAAAAGAAATAGTTTGGATGAACTCGACATTAACATACCGACCAAGGCTGAAGAAAGATCTATGATCCAAATTTCGTTTAGGACCCAAGATTTGAACATCAATACAGGCACAATCCAGTATCCGCACCAAACTGCACAGCTGGTCCACGATCCACTCTGTTTTCAAAATCTGCGAATCTGCTTCATTTGCCACAAAAATCCACAATCCATGCACTTTTTAAGGCCAACATCCGTCGATCCGAAAACCTAATCACCCCCCTCTGTTAGTAACATCATTCCTAACTCAAAAGAGTTTTAATGACTCACTTACCACATGGAACGTCTGCTGAAGGTAGATCATCGATAGATCGACCCTGTGGGTACTCTGTGGAAAAACAGACTCCTTCTAAAGCAATATTCCTCAACATTGATATGGCCTCTTTCCATTGTATCAGTCTTTTCAATGCACAGTTGCATGCCAATGTGTCTGATGTGATAACACTGTGAAAAGTTGCACACACACAGTTAAGAAAAGCGACAATACAACGTCACAACCTTCCCCATGTTCGTTAATTCTATATACAACTAATTCCCCAACCCTGCTATGCAAACATCCTTTTAGCTCATCACACATTCCTCACACATTCCTCACGATAGATTTGTCAATCCCTTCGTTTCTATGACATCACACTTCTAACACAAACAGATCTCCACACAAACCCCAACCTTTGTTCCAACTGAATATGACAAAACACTGTATATAGACAAAATTATTTGAAACTACAAATGCACATTATCCTAGATCATAATTCAATTGTCCTGCCTTGTGTGGCATTTATCTAAATAATAGTGTCTCGTCTATGAGCCGCGGGTTATGGGTTTATGACTCAGCACGTTCTGTCACGCATCAACTATTTCTTCTGTTTTAAATTTCTCATCGTCATGGTTATTAAATATTGGCTTCTGTTTGAAACCTAAACTTTGGCTGTTGATTACCTGGGTAAATGAAACAGAAACTAAACCTAAACAAAGGATATAATGTCCCTCACTCAACTACACGTTAAGACGTCACAGTGGGTCCTCTTTCAGGAAACAAAAGGAATTATCGTTGTTTGTGGGTTTACCAAAAGCTCAGAGTAGAAAAACATGCAAACGAAAAATTTATTACAGGCCCAAAACTTTATTTCACCTGCTTTACAGTTTCTTTGTTAGAGAAAAGCCGGAATGATTTTTTCAAGAACCAAACACTCAATATTTAAGGAAATATCTTCCTTCGCTTTTAAATGTAAACAGTCACGGAATGGCAAATTAAACTTCACTATAAATTGGTGTGCGTTAATTATGTCTCTGTCATAGTGACTTATAATTTGGCCTCAGCTAAGTAAGAAAACAGCGAAAATATAAATAACACATTACCGTGAGTAAAGAAGCCGATAACTATGAGAATTGACTAGATTGAAATTTAATCCAGACAAACAATAAATGCAGACATTTCAAAGCAACAGCTCGGTACTTCAGCAAATATTAAAATAATTAAGAGTTCAAATAAACCTAAATAAACACAAATGGAACACTTCTCAAAACCCGAAAAATATGTCGTAAATAAGACGCCTGTTTCAAACACATATGCAATGTTTAAATTATTTAAATGTAGCTTATGTGATTGAGCAGCGCTCTCGAAGCTTGACATGACAACTTCACGCAATGAAATCAATGTCTTATCGTCTTTGCGGGAAATGTTTTGAATCGTAGTCAGAAAAAAAAAAAACGGAATTATTTACGATATTGGTAAGCATTTATTTATGGCCACGTATACTGGTTTGCAATGATGAACTACAGTGAACAGTGGTGGCTGCCAATGCAGTGGTGGCTGCCAATGCAGTTCTTGTCTTAAATGATTCCTTTATAGACATGTTGTATTTTTATCGTTTTTTAATATTGTATTTTCAACGCATATTTTTTAAGACATTAATAGTATGATAATTTTGTATTTTTTAATATATAGTTTTTAAATCTTTTTTTAACATGTATGTCAAACACTTTTATCATGAGCCCCTGGCTCGGGAGACTTGGGCAACCACTCCCCGTGTTCTTGACGTAAAATAAATTACCTTACCTTACCTTACCTTAGCCTACAGTACACAAGTAAGAGCAGCTCGCAAGTTTCAAAACAATGCAGCCTGCACTGACGAAGGAATTAATCGAGGGGGATACGAAGCAACGCGCCCGATCATAGAAAGTTTTGAGAATGCCGCTGCTTTACCACATACGATCCACAACTCAGGCTAATATAAAATGTCCTCGATCAAAGACAATCGCGGTCTAAGGCTAAGTAAGTACCATCGACTATGAGATTTTGACGCGGTTCACAGCTTCACAAAGAGACGCCTGATGAATCCGCCATTCGAATAATTATTGGTCTGAAACGAGTTCAAAGCCCAGGTCAAGTTACTTCCCGTACGGTTTTTCGCAATCTATTTTTTCTCAAAAGAGGCAGCCCTAGCCTATTCTCTTCAAAGGCGTATGTCAGTCAGTAACAAGCCTATCACAATAACTGTGCTGGTAAATGCAAAAGTCGATCCCCGAGACATAAGTGTTAATATTGTTTCAATCAAGATCAAGACAGCACGCACGTAATTTTCAAGGAAAAACTAAGGTATGGCCTGAAATATCGCAGGTAATTATAACTTTTCTTACACACGGTCTGAGGTTTCGAATATTAATGAATACAAAAATTCAGACAGTACTCTGTGGAGGTTGTCTGCAGTCCACTAGGCAACCAGTAAACAGATAAACAGATGTCATTTACGACGAAGGTCCCTATTTTTAACCAAACACGGAAGTCAAATTTTTCTCCAGTCTCAGCTGAGAAATAAAATGCTAACACTGTTAAAAGAGAGTTTTTGGTGCCATTATGTGATTTCCTTCTTTCTCCCCGCTTGTTCGAAATACCGACGGAGGTTAAAATCTAACCGAAGGTTCACAAAGGGTTTAGCATATATGTACATTCTTAGAAAGTCAAGGATACCATAACATATTCACAGCATTTTTATAGCTCTTTTATCAGCATAGAAAATTCAAGCCTAATATACGATTTTGGGGACGAAACTATTAAAATTACACCACTGAATTACGCAATCGTCTCGACCTCAACGATCGAAGTACAGTGTGTGTCCAATGTAAAACGGAAAACGTTTTTTCGTGTACACTGAATTCTTGCATCGATCTTCACGAGTTCTGCATCTGTAACCTTTGATAAGAAAGCTTTTTACCTTCATTGCACTTCGACTTTCCCTTTAAAGCCACAATATAAACAATATAATTATGACCCAACTGGTTGTACAGAATGAAAATGAATTTGATCGATTCCCATGTGGTTGGTTGAAAGGAAACTTATTCTCAATAAAAAACAGTACACATCAAAACCATGATATAAAACACTGCACTCATAGTCAGTCTGTCCCGTAGAATACTGTTAACGAGCAATTCTCAATATACATGTACAATGCTGTTTTGCACGTCACAGAAAGTGAGAAATCAAATCCTTTCGCACTCGCGTCAGTACAAGGAACACAAACCGCACAAACACAACACTTCACCGAAAACAAACTTATACTTACATGAGCTGGGTAGATTCTGTAATATCCTGGAAATGAGACGAATCAATGATGTCTTTGCACACCAGTTCTTTCCCACTGGACTGATATTCGCAATTCACTGGATGCTGGGCGCTTGTCCCGTCGGCGAGATAAACCATTATAAAGGCAAACAGCGAAGCAAAAAGCACAAAACTGTTCCCCATGTTCATGTTATAATTATCCGCACAAGGAAATAAGTTTCTTTTCCTGATCCAAGATCTGAAAAGGCAATCCAAAAAACCTTACTGGGTAAGATTTGAGGAGTTAGGATAGCTGAGATGACATCGATCGAAATGCGCCTGTCGTGCCGATGAAGCTATTTCAATCAAGGCATTATTGTTTCGATTACTGAGAATTTCAACCAACAGTCACGTTTAAACTTAGCCAGAGATTCTAACCGATTCCTCCGGCTGATTTAAACCATCTACCCTGACGAACGTAATAAAAGAATTAGCCACAAAATGCCAGCAAAACAAATTACAAGCAGGTATACGTTCCGGCAAAAATGCAAATGAGATATTCGTACATGACAAAAGTGATCACAAGCTGTGACAAAACAGTTTGCGACTTCCTGACGACAGACAACACCGCTGGCCAATGAGAAGTCAGTTCAGTGTTGCCAGTGAATCGAAACAAGGATAATGCCTTCTGTTTTACTTCCTCGTTGCAGTGTTTAAGACATTTATCGTAGATAAAAAGCAACTTTATAACGTAGAACCTAGTCAACATGTTTTCTTCGGAGAGCAAATAAAACGAGGAAACGTTTCTGCGTATAAAATAAAATGTTTCTCAGTTCCTTGAAAAAAACTAACACGGCATATATTAGTACGTGAGGCACGTTACGTTTCAGCAATGCTTCCTTCTTTACTAGTTCCTCGTCTCCGATCCTCTTCACCCTTTCACGTATTAATTTTAGTGAATTGTTTGTTATCTCTTTCCTTTCGCGCTTGATTATTCGAATTGTCGAGCAGTGAAAATAGCGATCCGGCTTGCAGAAATCAAATCCAAACATCTTTAATTCTGGCAGGATCGTTACAGGTTGGATTTGGAAATTATTTCGAAGCTGCAGGGTTCTATAAAAGCCGGGCATAATAGTCTCATTATCACTGGTCCTGTAATTAGCCATGTTCTAACCAAGCGTCCTCCAATCCATACAAAGATCTCTTATTTTAGCGATTTTTAAAAGTGTACCATACCTTTGCGTTTAAACCAATAACTCTCAGATGTGGTAAACTTATTAATGTTTAGCTGCTCTTTCAGATGGTGAGTCCTATTTTTCAATGCAATCGATTTTAAATATTCGTACCCAGTCCCCTGCTCGTTTAGAACACGGCTAATTGTCACGAAACTGTGCAATATGATAGTATTCGGAAAGCGTGCACTTAGAGTATTTTGTTATCTGTAAGGCGAACTTCAACATTTGCTGAAAGGACGAGGGAAACGAAAAATGATATGATTTTGATTATAAATCAACGGTCGTAAGTAAATCAGACTGCGAGCAGTCTCTCTTTTGCTCGAAAATCCTTGGGGAAGAACGCGAAGCAAACGTGCGAGCGTGTCAGGCTCGCACGTTCACGACCGCTCTCGTCTGCTGCGTTCTTCCCCACGGATTTTCGAGCAAAAGAGAGACTGCTCGCAGTTTATGAGTAATGATTATCCAGTACGATCGCTAACTATGAGAAATTTATCATATCACTTGCCCTAAGCATAAGTTATGATGAAAAAGTCGCTTCTTCTAAAAAACGTAATTAATTCATCTTAGGAAGGTCGGGTAAAGCAATTTTGATAGCGGGCTCATTCGGTCTCTAAAATGACCAAAATGGCCAAAATCGATACCCCATTTATGACCAAAACGACTGAAAAACCCTACCCTTTGGGGCTGCACATACCTTTATAGCCCATATATAAGGGAGTACCCCCCGGGGGCATGAGCCGCTATATGTAGACGATTTGGGGCGAGAACGTAACCCTGCTTTCTTGGCATGGGAAACATCGAAGGAAGGTTGTTTGTATATCCGCTGTCTATTAATACCGACCTTTCTAATTCCGTATCTATTTTAAGTGTCTTATTGACAGGAGGAACTGTTAAGATCGCGGATAACTCATCTGCCGCTTTCGCATTTGATACAGCAAGCACGAGTTTTGCTGGGGGGAGAGGTGGGCAAGTGACCTAATTATGACTCAAAAGTCTGACTTGAACACTTAAGGCACATACCGTTAAGTGAAGCTCGGGATCATCATTGTTAGAAGCTGTACGCAGACTGTCTACTACATCGAATATTTTCCAAGGGAAAAGACTCGTGCCTGCCCCTGTACCTCTTATACGATCTTATCACATGTTCAAAACTCGCTTTCTACATACCCTAGCGTGCGGAATCTGGAGATGACTCAGACTAAAAGTTGTTTCCCAATGCCTCAAGCTCCTGATTTCTCGAACCAATTTTTGTTACGCTCGAAGAGAGGGATATGAGGGTGCTCTGAGCACCGCAACACCGAAAAAAATTAACGAACACCGCCTTACCGCGAGAAAAGTGGACGAAGCATCGTCATCGCCCATGATTTGAACGTCTACTCTTGTTATAATACTCAGTTATACCTCAACAGTTGTCCACAGAATAAAGAAGATAAACACACACACAAAAATAAACAAATCACAACGCTTGTCATTGCCGACTTGTCGATATTGCTGATGCCCGCAGTAAAGGCCGAAAACAGCTCAAGCTTCGCCGGGATTTGCAGCTGTAGCATATCAGAGATTAATGAACTAGCAAGTGCTGGTCTGTATTTGTTGGTTTCTAAAATATACAACCGTAAAGAATTAGTACGGATTAACGAAGTTTATATGCTAAATTTAGGTCAAAGCTAGAAAGATCAAACAAGAAACCACAGCACCGCAAATAATTTCATTTCACCGAAAACCGTAGTGTAAAAAAAACAAACATCGCAAACCGTAGGGTTTGAGAACACCGCATCACCGCATTAGAAAGGCAATCAACACCGCAAAGCCCCACGGTCTCCCCCCTCGAAGATTTGAGAAACTGAGAGTTTATAGCATGAATTAATCAATTTCAATTCTTCGTGTAATAATGCAGTCTTGATTGCGACCACAAGCTATTCTGGAAGTTTGATGACAACAATTGTATGCAAGAATAAAAAACTTGGACATTTTGTCGTTTCATTCAGTTTCGTTTCGATGGCGTTCGTAGCCTGATTTACTGCTCATTTGTCCTGCAGTCCCGAAGTGATCCCGCCTCGAAATGATCCCCAGCTAGGTCTGTTCGATCAATTGCAACTGAACCGAAAATTAATGATCCCCGAGTATGGAATCTCAGCAGAATCTTGGGACCTTGGAATCATCTTAGAACATTGAAAATAAAGAGTTCACTTCTGTCAAGGTACTTCAAAATAACTGATAGAGCCAATCTTTCTAGAAATTTACTTTTCTTTTTTATTTTGTCCGTTTTTCTTCTTTTTCAATGTTTCGATCCATTTAAGGTGATTGCCTAGTAAAAGAACCCGCCATAGATTTCCGATGAAACTTGGTATGCTGTTGTCACAGGACAAGGAGATATTAAAAACGTAAAAAGAGGGGATCACCGTGCTTGTTTTCACGCCACAATGCTGACAAATAAAGTTATTAAGGTGACTTTTGGTAATCTCCGTGCGCAACAAATAAGCTCGATAATTTTTCAATGCAGCTTGTTATATCACGCAGAGTTTGACTTTCTTTGATTGTTTATTCATCTACGTCACAAAAAAATGTCTTCAAATACACTGCATTTTTTAATCCTTTGAAGGAAACATGATTTGGACATGCGCTGTCGGGCCCGTTATGTCTCCCTCAGTAGTATTTATTTCATTTGCCAAAAAAGTAGCCAGAGATTTCTATAAATTTTTTTCTCAGTTATTGGGGATATTGTTCGCATTGAAATTATGAAATAAAACACGGGGGTCACCGTGCTCGTTTAAGAGAAAAGGAGCATTTATTTCGCTATTGAGCTTAGTTTGAGGAAAATCTCGTACGTTTTGTATATCATTCACCTCTGCCGGAAAAACAGCTTCTATTTGCCTTGTACCAGGGGGTTTAAAGCTTTTTTGCAGTTGATGGTAATAAAGATGCGGAGTCTAAGCGGCAAAACTAGCCAAAAAGCAACAAAAACAGCACCTAGCCGTATGTTCGATGCTTATATCATTAGCAAGACTCGTTATGTACATCATATCAGGCTTGAATGCCTGCAGGCTGGTTCTAAAATTAACACCTTCTAGGCAACAAATACATTCGAAAACAAAAACGTCATATGCTATAACCTAGGAATATTCACAAGAGTATTTTCAGCCTAAAATCGGCAGAAAAATAATAATATTCATCCTTGGCCGGAAAAGTGCATCTTCGCAACTGCCTAAGCTGCGTACATATAATTACGAGCGCGTCGCTCAATTTCAAAACAAGGCTGGGACATTTCCCAAGGCGCTCAGGGCCGTAGTTTATGGGAAGAGGCGAAACCGCGGCACTTGCCTCGGGGAAAAATTGGGAATTTATCCAAGTTATCATACGTCCGTGCGAGGTGATGTGGATCGATGTCTCGATATAATTGGCGCGTAGAACGACAGCAAACTTAGTCGCGACTTAGCTTAAACGAGCCTGTCTGAAGTAGTGAATTTTGCACACCATTAGGATGTTTGTTGATGACCGAATGCGATGCATTGCAAGCAAACTGCAAAGAAAACCATGGTGTGCATGGTGTACAGAAACAGTCAGTTTTTAATTTCTTTTTTTTTTTTTTTGGTTTCTGTGTTCTTGCTGTAACATGTGATGTTTATTTATAGAATTAATGTAAGAAATAGTACAAAACAATAAAAATCTGAATCTGAAACTACAGCTGATTATTTTACTGGATGTGCATGTTTTATACTCCCAGTCAGAGAAAAATCGATTCCGTGGTTCACTGACTGAAACTAAATTTGGTACCCTCCGGATGATAGACTACCAAAACCCAATTAGTTTCGGACCTGTGAAGGGCCGAGACATTTTAGGAAATCGAACGCTTCGTAACAAAGACCGTACTTCCATTAATTAGTGAAAAAAAACACATTTTTTCGGCGATAGCCAACCTATCTCCTCCCCCCCTAACGTTGAAACTGGTTTTGTCGACAATCGCTCGGTTACAACACTTCTGTTTGAAGCTATCTGCCTATCATTTGTAACGAATTCAACAACCTCAAGTGGGTGAGTTCCTTACGATCAAGTTCGTCGGAAAATAAACACAGAACAGAGGGGGAAACTAGAAGAATAGATGACAATACATGCAGAAAAAGCTGATTCGTGTTTCGCTGACTCATAAAATAAAGAAAAAAGTTATTTGCATAACATTTTATACTTTAAGACCAGCCGGAATGAAGTTTTGACATAAACCGTAGATGAAATATATTTTGGAACTTTATAACTTATTGATTTGCACTACGCTTTGGCTGTTATTTGTAGGATCACGATAAATACTTTACATCTTGAGAATAAAAATAAAATAAATACATAACGGTTCATTGGACGTCGGAAGTGTAAAACAGATCGGCCTTATTCAGCAAACGATAAAATGTTCGAGATCTTACAGCGAAATTTTTTTTTTATATTTGTTGCTTTGTTGTTGAAACTGCGGATTAAGAAATTCTCACACAGGATCCAAGCCAAAACGTTAAAATACTCTACCTGGAAATCGATTTGTCTTGTTTTTAGAGAATTATTTTTCATATTTTTCAGAGAATTATTGTTTTTCCCTGCATTGGGATTATTTACATGTGTGGTACAACGAATATTTTTGTTTTCAGTGAAACGGAGGTACAAGATGACAAAAGTCAGCCAACTTACACGTTTCCTAGGCGGCGTTCCTCGGCTTAGATCAGCTAGCGCGGCACATGTCCGTGAATTTCTGGGAAAAGAAGTTTGCTTCGTTTGTTTACGGAGTTCAGACCCGAACCAGCGGCCATCACGTGACGCAGTTCATTAAGTCAGCTGCGATTATGACTCAGATAAAACTCATAATAGCACGCAAATCAATTCATCTCTTCTCATTGGTGGATAGGCTTAATTTACATTGTCGTCAAAGTTTAAATGCTTTTCACGAATTGACGCCAGGTGTGTTAACAGCACGAAAGTCGAAATAAGACCTTGCACTGAAGCCTTATCGGTGCTTTATTTTTTATCGTCCACAGTTCTTCACGTTACCATGCTTCTCTTCAGTCCCGTATGATATAATTTTAAAGAAAATAAAAGACTTGTTATATGCTTGTACATACGCTTAACGTACCCATAATTTTTTTAAGAGAACAATTTCTACTAGAATAGGGTACAAACATGATAGATTCATCACATCGAAATTAGCGAAACCAGCGACGCATCGCAGAGATGTGATTCAAACTCAGTAATGTTAATAATAAGAAGAAAAAGAAGTTGTAAATTTTGCAAAGAAATGAGGGACTAGATGGGGTGGTCGAGCCTCAGTTATCAGAGAAATCTTCGATGTTTTCTGGGCTATTGGATGAAATATCAGTCCATTTATTCTTAAGTAGCTAACAGTAACTTTAGTAAGTCTCAGATCTAAGCTGCCAGATGGAAAATAGTTACGTGGGTAGTCCCTCTAATGGCGTGTGTAAGGACAGGCTCCGCCATAAAGGAAGACCTTTTTCAAGCCTCGGGTATATAAAAGGCAAGGGAATTCACAAGTTTAGATATATCAAGGAGTAGGAAAATCTGTTATTTAGTTATTTAAAGAAGTATTAAATTAAAATATTTCGAGCAGACGTACCTTATGTCCGTATCGTTTCATCTATTAGGCGCTACATGAAAATGACAAGAAGATTTCCTTTCTTTAGTGATTTCCTTTATTTGGCGGTTATGGGAGCGTATGAAAGGGGTACATTTTTTCAATTAAAGGAATACGAAAGGGGCACCTTGACTGTGATCACAATAGTAAACGAAAGAGTAAGGGGTTGGACCTCCCCGAACAAAACTTTGTAGAGTACCCCCCGTGGGGGAATCGTCATTTCTCAGCCATGACAGTTAGAATTTTGACCAATTTTCAGCTATTAGTCAAATTCTCAGTTACCCAGACGATCAGGAAACTGAAAACAACAACGGCTGGTGACTGATCGAGTGTTTTGAAAACCTGATGACGATCAGTGGTCGGTATAAACTGAAGAAAGTCTTAAACATTGATTTTAACATAACCTTAGCTAAAATTTATGACACAAAAAGAGAGAAGTTATTTCGCATCGATATCTGGAAGCTACTAGAGGTAACTTGATCCCGTTTTTTATTGACCATGATGAGGAACTACGAGAAAATGTCCTGACACAACACACACAAGCTCGCTTCAGATACCTCAGTCACACGAGTCACGAGACCGAATAGGCTGCCTCAGAAAGGAGTGGGTGACTATTTCCTTTTACTTGTGAAGCAATGGAAATCCAGAGGAGAGGTGTACAGGTAGGCTAGAGACCGAATGAACCTGCTACCCTACCTTAATTCCTAAGATGAATGAATTATGTTTTTTAGAAGAAGCTACTGTTTCATCATTATAACGATCATTATCGATAAGACCACCAACAAAAGCCCTTCTGTAAATTGTGTTTAGAGCAACTGTGCCAGCTACAACGGCCATAAATAGGGTATCGAATTTCTGGTCAGGTCATAAATAGGGTAGGGAAAATCGCAGATTTTGGTCATAATTAGGGTAAGGGTTTTTTTGCGAAGCAGGCCGCACACCCCCACCCAATTTTTATGGGAGTACCCACGGATTATTTCTGTAATCAATAGTTCTCTTCTTTGTAAATACCTTCTAGATAGTCTTTTAGCTAGTTTTTTAATTTTTAAACACGACCACCAAATTGATCTGAGTCCATAAGCCAGACCTCTTCCTCTCCAAGAAAGGGGGAGTGAAGTGCGACCTTTCATGTTATGTGTTGGAGTATCGTCGAAATATTTTTCTCTTCGATTCTTTTAAACCTCTTACAGGCGTTCAGCTAGTCGGGGTCCGGCGCGAAAAAGCAACGTAAATATAACCTAAGAGTATGCATGGGAATGTAGCGATCGTATGTAAGAGTTCGAAATATGGAAATGGAATTTAGTAAAAAGACTTAAGCCCCATCCAAATTACGCCGGAGAAATTTGAAAACGTACTTTCTTTCTAAGGTCACACCGACCGTCGGCACTAATCCGTCACGAAAACGGAACTTTTCGAAAACGCTCTTCAAACCAGAGGAATTTGAAAACATCGGCTTTGTGTTTCAGTATTGACGGAAAACACTCAATTTTGAAAACGGAGTTTTGGAAACTGATAACATCGCGAGAATCATGTGATTTCCCTGCAGGAGTTTTTCTGAAACACAAATCCAAAATGACGGGTGATGATTGTTGTTCGAATTTCTCGGCGTAGTGAGGACGGAAAACGTTTGATGCGTTTTCTCTGGTGCAGTGTGGACGATGGGGCCTAAAACGCAAAGCCAGCTAAAGCCGGCGTTTTCAAATTTCTTCGGGTGCAGTATGGACGGAGCCCCCTGTTGAGTTCGATTCTTCTGTGTCTGAGTGTGTTACTTATTATACTAGTGTCAGTCCGTGCGGTTTAAAACGGCCCCAAAACGCCACGGATACACAAGTAGACACAGAAGAGTCGAAGTAAGTATTTATTTATTGATTTCCTTTGCTATATCTCGAACTGTTATATACGATCGTGACATCATATACAAATAGACTTTGTGACGTATGTTATGTAATGATCACGTTTCTCAAGCCTCTGTGAAATTCTGCGGCATTTAGTTTACTACGCACGTGCTATATAACTGGTTAATTGCTGTGCTATTAATGACAACACAATGTTGTGGGTGATTCTTCGAGTCACTGAACAGGGTAATGATGACTTTGATGGCTGAAGTGGGTTAACCACAAGAAGCACTTAGTTGTCGTCATAAATAACTCGCTCATCAGAGTTTTCAATAAACTTCCTGTTGAGTGGATGAGTCACGCTTGAGATGACCACCATGAAAAGAAGTCGAAAATTCGTTTGAAGAAATAACTATTTTAAAATAATCAGGAGTCGAGCGGTTTACATATAAAGAAGGTTTTGTAGTACCTGGTTTTTGGGAAAGTTCTGATTGCTCGTGTTCCCGGGCTCGTGTTTCTTCCACACTGTATGTTAAGCCGGCCCTCAACAAAGACCCCTAGCTGAAACGAAGTGTCTAACTGACCGGCTTTTTCAAGCATCTTTTTTTGCTTACATCATCGTTCAGGAGGAAATAGGAAACAGCCCTAGCTTAGTTTGCGTGCCTCTGGGAGTCAAAAAATGTTATGTGAGCTGGCTTGTGTTGATTTAATAACATGGAATTGTTTTGTTTAAAATTGGATTTTAGCATTATTACCTTATTTGAAGATAGCTTACCACGTGACTTGCCGCCATGTTCGCTGAAGCCGCTCAAAGGTAAATAGAAAAGATGTAGTTGACCTAAGTCGTGTTTCCGGAAAATCTGTGCAGTTTGGTTGTCTAAGCATTTAGGAAACTCTCCCGATGAATGAAGGACGATAAAACTGTAGAAATGGTGAGTGTTTTCTCTAAATGAAGGAAAATAAGAAGACTCATGCTTCGCACGGTGTACTTCGAGTAATCAGATACAGTTTCTTGTGAAATGACGTCTCGGTTTTCGAATTTTATAGCTTTAATTTTTGTTCAGAACATTCAGTGGTGATCCAGGGGTATATCCTTCCCCCTTTTACTTTTTTCAGTTCATTATTCTCGGGAAAACTACGCGATTTTTGTCGCAACTATGAACAGCGGGAAGGAAATTCGATATATTTTTAATGGCGTGTATGAACCACACGAAAAATCATCAATAAACACGTTTATATTGTTTTGTTGGATTGGTGCTAAGTTGTTTTTCACTGAAGCTGTTTCGTCCTTTTCAAAATTAAATCTTATTTGTGGCTTTTTTATTCAGATGTAAAGTGACTTGGCGGTGGTTAAGCTCGAAATTGCCGTGGTTGTGACCTCCTATGTACATGGAGTGTCATCTTAATTCTGTAGGGACAATTGTGTACAGTGTAAGAAAATTTATTTTTCAAAAGGTTCCCTATCGATTCCAGTGGTGAATTAACTCAAAGGCAACTTGGAATGTATTTTGTATTGTTTTTAATTCCTGGTATAACATGTTTACGATCGTCTCGTATTTATAATAGCCCAGAAATATCAAGCTTTCAATATAAGCTTCGTCTTGAACTTGCAATGAAGGTGTGTGTTCAAATTGAATTGAAATTTAACAGCATGGGTCTGTATAATCTGTTTAAACCTTACATCATCCAGCAAATGGTTTGTACTTAGTAGGAGCCAAAAAAACAATGCATTAACATAGATCTCAGATTTGGAACAGTAAAATAGGGTGCACACACTCAAAATATTGTAAAAATACTTGTTTTGGTCCGATATTTTTAACTCCCATTGTTATGGTGTATGTGCATTGTAAACTTCTTAAATTCCTTTGTATGATGTATTTACATAAAGTATTATATTGACGTCATTATGGTCCCAATGGGCCTTTTTGGTGCAATAGTGTCTTTGAAATGTCCCAATTTAAAGGGTAGTAGTTATTTTTACAGCAAATAAGATATCAGTAAATACGCTAGCTCACATTAACTATAGAACGGTCCATCGTATGCTGTAACCATGGAGACCCCATATCTTCAACGTAGTGTAGATACAATATTGTTTTTAGCCGTAGTGGTATATTAATTCAAGAATGTGTATGATTGCTGCTGTCTTGTCAAAAAGAAATGTTGTGATAGCTCCCAGTGATTTTGTATACATGCCTGATAAAGCTGGGATGAAGAAGTTTTTGAGTAACACATTGTTTTAGACCTGAATTAAGTTTTTGCTAACCTTACTTAACCAATCATACTGACTCATAATTATCATCATAACAAGATTGGTTGTCAATTGAGGAACAATCTAAAATGCCGTTATTCCTGCAGTATGCATTGTGTCAATCCAAACAACTATGGTGGAAGTCTAATTTATTTAACCTCCGCTTTTTGAACCTCCTGACACCTTGAACCAGAATTTTTGTTTCTCTTGGAGGTTCATAAAAACCCGGATTCCACTGGATATTACCAACTAGCATTACTAGCCTTATCAAATGGTTTGCATTATATTTTGAATTTATCCCTTCCTGAAATGACATGGGATTCATATTACATTCACTCAGTCAGAACAGCAATTATTAACCTAAAAACCCCTTTTCAGAGGTTAAGGAAGTTAAGGTATGAAAGTTTGTGGGGGTCAGTTTAGATTGTAGATACTTTATCTGTGACTGTCTTTTAAACCATGAAAAATGTTATAGGATTAGGAAACATGCTTTAAAACCCTTTAATACCTGTGAGCTACACACTTTGATTTTTGATTTTTTTTCTCTTTGACTCTAAAAGGCTTAATAATCACTCTAGTGATGAAAAAAATAAAAAAAAGAAGGAAAAGGTAGAAGAGTACTTGAAGGAAGATGAGAGAGTGAAAAGAAAAGACTGAGATTCCTTTGAATTTTTATATCGTCTGCTTGAGGGAAAAAACCCTTGAGCCATATTCTTCTTGATCTCGAAAGCCAGGGTTTTACAATCTTTTAAGAGTTTTCCTATCAGTCCTTAATATTTTTGTTATTGTTGTCTTTAGGGAAAGGAGAGTGCAAATCACAAAGCAGTATCAAACAGAAACTCTCGCTCTTTGAGAATGGAACGTGGGCACCATATTGATAGCACACCGTTAAGGTCCCAATCAGTGGGTGCTGCTGGGGCATCTCGCATCAGACCCTTAACAGCACATCAAAGCCCTGCTGAGCTGGAGAGGAAACATTCACAGATACGACGCAAACACTCTGGAATTTTTGGGGCCAAACCAGCATTGAAGTATCCAAGGATTGATCATACAACGAGCCTGTTTGGTAAACTTCAGTCAGCTCTTAGGTAAAAAAATAAATATTTAAAAAAAAAATAATGATGTAAACAAACAACAGAAGGTTTCTCAGTGTGGGGGCTGTTGTCATGCTCTATGTGGCAATTTGCGTTTAGATGATAGATGATGATGACAGTGATGGGGGCTGCGGTGGCCTTGAGGTTAGCTTGTTGGTTCAAGTCCTGGGCAGGATCACTGTGTCTTGTTCTTGGTTGAGGAACTTTAGTGCCTCTTGCTAGTGGTGGTTTATCCTGGCAACCTGATCAAAATCATGTTATTACCTGCAATGGACTAGCATCCCAACCAGGGGAGTAGAGATACTGTACATTTATCTGTTGTCACTCTTGTGCATTAGAAATCAAAGATATGTGCAACTCTAATATACCACCCAGGTTGTGTTCAAACTTTAGTCTTTTTATCCTTCTGGTGACATGACATGATTGTAATTGTTACAGTGGCAAGTTTGACCAGGCCAAATTGTCTTGTTCTACACATTGTTAGATGTAGTGTTGCAGATAATGAAATAAAATTGTGTACCATTCTGTAAAGAGAACTTAATGTTTGTACAACCATGTGGTAAATGCATTTGAATTTTTTTCAGTGAATATGGCAGATATCTTGAAGATGCTTTGAATAGTGTAGAACCCAAGGTATTTATCAAAATGCTTTTAGTTACAATTCATTTAGCTCCCTGGGATACTGGTTTGACCTGTATGTGCTGGCAACAAAAATTAAATGATAACATATTGCAACTTGAAGATAATTATTTTCTTCAGCTAGATAATGTTATAAATCTCAGAACAAGAAAAAATATATATCGATAGCAATATCTTTAGATTTTTTATACCAGTGATAACTTGTTATTGAAATCACCAACTTGACTAGGTAATTAAATAGACTATTGTCTTGTTTTTTTGTTTGGCATTTCTATTCTACTTTCAATTCTGCAGCGGAAAGTGAAAGTGCAGTCAATTTCATTTTTATTCACCAAAATACAAATGCTACTGCCACTGTGGCAGTAGCATTTGACCTGTATGTGTATACGAATATTATTTTTTTGAGCCAAGAATTACTACTCAAGTGTGCCAGGGAGAGGTTCTTTTGAGAAATGTTTTAAGAAATGCCATTAATTCACTGATAAGTTATTGATGGTAAAATTAGCATCAGAAAGAGAATTTTATTTAGTTATGCACTTTGGAATCTAACTAAATGTATGGCATGTTTTTTTCAGAGAAAGAGAATTGTTGAGCAAAGGATAAAGTAAGTTAGAATAGTTTCATTCTTAACATTTTTCGTCCTCCGTTTTCACTTAAAGGCAAGAAGCATTACAGCCCTTAATAATACTTTGATGACCTTTAGACAATTATTAGTATATGACCATCTAATATGAGTTTTGATGTTTATTTGAAATTAATTTTTTTGCCTTTTTTTGCAATTTAGGTTGATAGAGTCCAGGTTACTGCAGGTTTGTGAGAACAAACTAGACTTCACTATCTTTTAGTTATTTGTTCTAAACTGAATCATTTTGTCAGTTGGTTTTTCGCTTTTTCATTATTGTTCAGTTATTACCTGTACAAAGTAAATGTATATCGAGCAATAGTTATTCAGCTTTTATGGGACATTATCACTCCAGGTTGGATGACATTAATAAATGGAAGATTTTTAAGCACCTTATTTTAATTGCACATTCAACATGGCTGTTATTGACTCTCTCAGGATTGTTTGCAATCATCAGTTATTTTAATTTTTGCAGATTGATGAAATTTTTCAACTTTACCTTTATGAGGAAAAGATGCGAGAAGGTACAGTGCATTATTTTTTTATAAGTAGACAGTAGTTATCTTTTGGAAGCTTATTTCTTGATAACAAGACATCATCAAAATATAGTTGAATTATTTAAAATAACAGAAACAACTGGAATAATTAAAAGTATGAATAAACAAATTGAAACAAAAGCAGATTGATGGTGTGCAAATTTTAAGATGACAAGAATAATGGGGAGGCTGCTATCAAGCTTCAAGCACACAGTGAATTTGTAGGACTTGATAGTAATTATATCAATCAAGGCAAATATTCATTGTTGCTGCATGGACTTTGAATTCATCAGTGAGGTATGTACCAGATATCTGACACTGGGTTTGGGAGAAAAGTAAACTACTTTGGTGTATGGATCAGTTTGTTTTTTTATTTTGAGTTCTCCCAAAGTTGAGCCTGTGCCTGTGCATCTTAGACAAGTGTCTTCCATTTATTACCTTTTATAGTGTACTTTTACTGTGCTTCACAGGCTCACGTAACCTGCTCAATGCATTGACATTTCAAGGATCTAAAGGAGGCCAAGACAAGTGTCGAACCAGTATCAATGCTTGTACAGAGGTATGTTGTTGTCATGAACTCAAGGTTTACTATTAAAAATTTTACNCAAGGATCTAAAGGAGGCCAAGACAAGTGTCGAACCAGTATCAATGCTTGTACAGAGGTATGTTGTTGTCATGAACTCAAGGTTTACTATTAAAAATTTTACAACACATCTCTAATGATTTGTATAGTGTGATCGTCCGGGTGAGGGTAGTTCTGAAAAGAACTGTTGTTGGTGACTGACGTTTCGACAACCTGAGTGGAAGTCATCTTCAGAGTCAAGTGAATGGTGTTTATCAGTTGATGATGTTACAAGTCTGGTCCGTTGAACGTCCATGAAATGAACAGAACCACTCAGGTTGTCGAAATGTCAGTCACCAACAACAGTTGACTTTTCAGAATTACCCTCACCCGGACGATCACACTATACGAACTACTGATACTCCTGGGTTCAAACCATTTACTACGTTACATCTCTGATAAATTGTGTTACCCTTTGCAAATTTCCCATTATTTTGTTTGGGGCAGTAACGAAATACAAATGGCTATTACTGTAGCTTTAAATTGGAATGTTTAGACAATATAGTTCTTTTTAGCTGCATCATTAGCACGCAATGAACAGAGCTTTTCCTGGATATTACCTGTTAGTGTACTTTTGATAACTTTTCAATGACAGTTGTTGGGAAGTTATGGCTATTGAACCCATAAAACTACAGATACACCCTGAGCCTTCCATGTGTCCAAAAATTGTTAATAAATATTTGTATTTTCTATTATGTTGACTTACAGGTAGTGAAAAATTAAGATTTCACTATTTAACTAATAATTGTTAATATTTGCTTTAGAGGGTTCAATTTTCTCTTTGTTTTATCCACTGTTGACAATTATTTGAAATTTTATAACAAAGAAGGAGTAGATAATTTTTACAGATGTTGGCGGGTGATTTTTCTGGGACAAATTTTATTAGTATCTGTTACTTGGCTGAGTTTCAGGTGACCGTTTTTTTCAGAAAATGTGTGCTATTGAGGAAGAGCTTGAATCTAAACTGGGAGTTTTTAGGTTTCAGTTAAATGGTGAGTATCCTGTTGATATATGCTTTTATAAATTATTTTATGCTTGTTACATCAAAGAATGTACATTGTATACCATCTGATCTTTATCTCAAGGTAGAAAATAAAATTTTTATTGACGTTTTTTAAGCAAAGTGCATTTTGTTTATTTATTCTCCTTAACTTTAACCAATTGGCAAACATTTCTGTTACAACTCTCTATTAATAATTTTTCGTATTTGGAGCGACATCAAAACAATAGGTACATTCCCATATTATGTGTATTCTATGTTGGAGAATATGCTCACTGACATCATTTCTAACAAGTTAAATTGCCTGCATCCTGCACTCTGGACATGAAGTGTGTTTTTTAAGGTAGGATATATTATATATAGTTTTACATAACACTATAGAATCTCCAACAAGGATTTTCTAAGCTATTTTTCCAAACTTTGCTACAGTGAATCAAAACAATATTAATACAACGAGGCCAGGTACATGTATTTCCCTGTTTATGAAAAAATAACCAATTCAGGTGGTAATTTCCATCATGGTTTTGGTGAGGTTCATAAAAGTGATGGTCAACTCCAACGTGTTTTTGATGGCTAACAGCAGAGCTCAAAAAAACGTGCCGTGCCATTGTCCCAGACAAGTAGGTTTTCCTTTTGAGCAAGTCATCTGCCAACTAAATTATTAAAAGAGCAAACTAAGATTTGCCCAGGGCAACAAAATTTGAGTGCTACTTGTCCCAAAGGTAAACTGAAATTCAGTTTTTTTTTCAAGCCCTGTAACAGTGTTGTCCTTTCTTGTTTACTTTTTCTCAGCTCTTTTAGCCTTTGGAAGACTCTGCAGTGGTGATGTTTATGATGTAAGTATTTTCTAGCGTCACTTATTTAATCGGCTAATTCAAAAGAATTGTCTCTTAACAATACAACTATTGATGTTCCTGTTGTGCCAAAAAATCCTGAAGAATGACAAAAAGAATAAAATAGGAACTATTAATTGTGGAAAAAAAATCTTAGTTTAATTAATTTGAGATAGTCTTGAAGAACTTCATAGTGCTTTGGCAAGCCTGTTGGGCAAGCTAAAAATACGGAATGAGTTACAAATTAAATCTTAGCAAGGAATCTACTATTCAAAATAATTTTAGAAGCTAACTTCATGTCCTTGACAAATGCTGTTTGACTTATTTGTGACAAAAATTTAATGTTTACTTCTTGGTGTTGAGTTGAATAATAATTAAAAAGTTAGATTGTCCTTGTCTTGTTAAACCTTTTTCATCATGCATTTGTGTAAGGTTTTTTACTTTCATTGCATTCTCAGATACACATTAAACATGGAAGTAATTTCAAATGGAAAGCAAGATGCAAGGTAGAAAGAGATGGACAAAAGTGGACAGACAGTGAGGTAAGTATAATATGCATGTACTCTGACTAGTAGTGAAAGAGGATTAAAATTTGAAAGTCATACTGGTATGCAATCTTCTTCATGTGCTCCAGTCTGGAGGTCCCTTACAACCCCCAGATCCATATTCGCGGTCGTCCAGTTGTGCGAGACAACTAAAAAATTGTATGGATGACCAAAACAACACAAAAAGTTGTCTGCTGGACGAGTTTAGTTTGACTTTACCAAAAAATAAAACATTTCTTAAATTTTCTTATGGGTTCCCTGCATTCTAACCACTGGTTATATGTTTGCAACTTTAAGAAAACCGAGAAAGATTTGCAGCTTTCTTTTGCAATAAAAATCATCATTTTTCCCGCCGTCTTTGATAATGCAGTATTTTCCAATTTTCATTTCAACCACTGATGCTCTGCACTGCGTCTGCATCCACGGAAACATGTAGCACGATTGCATCAGCATTTTTGATCAGGATGTGGCATTTAGTAATGTTAACACTTCGGAAAAACAATCCAAATACGAGCAGGAAGAGCGAAAGCGTTCCTTTCTGACTAATCCTCATGGCAGTCAAAGAGGCCTTGGTTTTCATTTGTACCTGGATTTTCTGTGTTTGCCAAATCCACGACGTCAACTGCCACAACTATGGACATGTTCTGCGAGACTGGTCATGTGAAAATACTAAAAAAGTAAACTTTCTATTTACAGTATATTTTGTTCAATTGCAATTCTTCCCTATTGAATGGGTAAGTAAAATATTGCCAGAGCAAGTACAGTATGTCATATGGCATACTTGCCCAGCTGGGGACCTGGAGAAAAAACCAATATGGATCGCTGATAACCTGCTGGTGACTTAACAAAGTTTGAATGTAATATTGGGCAAAAACAGTTGGCTGCATCAAGGCTCATTTAGGGAAACTAGTGGAATTTCTTGAATTTCCAAATCTTACATTATAATTATGACTTTTATTTTTGCTTTCTACAGTTTACCTTGAAGCCGTCGATAACTGATGACTTTTCTATCAGGGTAGGTATTAAATTGTAGAATCACGTTTGTACTGTATGTTTTGACAATGGGTTTATTTACTAATGATTTTTATGCGTGAATGCAGGTAATTGAAATGAGAAAAATCCAAGCAAATGTTCAAATTGGGAACATTCTTTTGAGGTCAAGAAACTACATAAAAGCCAGACCACAGGTATTATGTCATGATATCTAACTTTATTATATCTCTCAGATAGTAGCGCACGCACTGTGATTGGTCAATTTAACGGGCCGTATTCTATTGTACGGCCCACTAAAATTTAAAGCTGTTTTTGTTGCCAAATTGTTTCATGATTTATCACCAAGTGTTCTTAAGATTTAAATCAGGGGTTTTTGTTAGGGTTTTTAGCAAGAAGACAGGTTACACTTTTTGAACCGAACTTCTTTAACACAAAAAATTTCTTCAAAGAGGATCATGTTTGGTGTGCGAAATCGGTCTCACAGTCCGTCAGTTTGCTCTGTGCCCAGACCTAAATCAAATCTCTCTTTAGCGCCAAAAATTGATTAATTCTTCAATCTATAACAGACGGGGTTAATCAGTTAATGACTAATTAACAGTTAATGTATATACACTCATTTCAACCATTATTTTGTTTCTTTTTTGGTGTTCAGGTAGTTTCTGTACCTTTAAATAGCACAGGCTCAATGAAACTTAAGATGACTGTGGAATGGAGGTGGGTGAACTTATGTTAAGTTTACCACATCAGATACTGGGGTGGGGGGGGGGGGGNTTTGTGTAAAATGCCAATAAAATTCCATGTATTCTGTAAGCAGGAGTGATGTCTATATTTGATGCTTATTTTGAAGACATTTTTGGGGTTTTGGGGAAAAAACCAGAGGGGGGGGGGGGGGGGGGGGGATTCCCATATAAAAGGGACTGGGGTGCTTGTCGTACCTGTTAGGGATTGAAAACTTGGTTTGGTACCTCTCAGGGTATTCAGCCTCAAAAGGTGCTGTACCTCTTGGAGTATTGAGCTGAACAAAATATTACAGGAGATAATGTGTTGTTTCAGAATCGGTACCTCTTCAAAATTTCCGACAAGCACCCCTGTCCTTTTTACAGTATATGGTTCAGATACTGTTTCAAACTCGGTCTGTTGCTGAGTTTCCAATGATCAAGGTACAATTTGGAGCATGTTTAAAAATATGTGGCATTTAATAAACTTATGTGTTTTTGATTTGATTCTGGCATTTGATCTTAAAGGAGCACTCATTTATCTGCTTTTAGGCCTCTTTCTGGTAAGGAAGAGAACACCTTGCGCATGAAAAGACAGAGTCTATTTTCAGAAGTTATTTTCATTCAGGCTGCTACAACAACGTCATCTGAGTCCTCTGCTGGCAGCCCTACAGAGAAAAACAGGTAAATTACTATGGTAAAGCCACTTGTTTTCATGTGTGTCCTCCCTCAAATAAGAATTTGTGGTGGAAATGTTAGAGTTGAGAAATAGAAAAGCCAGTGTAATGGTGGAATAACCTTTGAAGCTGAGCAAAATAACCACAACAACTTTAATTGTTTTACATGGCGGGAATTTCTGGCTGGAAGTCATGCTGGGCCGAATATTTTGGCATTTAACAATTATTTAAACCCAAGTTCTGTTAACTTAAAGGCAAAAGTAATTTTCAAGCCTAACAAACCTTACATACAAGAGAAGATTCAATATGAATGGACTGTACAGAGAATTAGTGTGTTATGTCTTGAGTAAGAGCTACAACCGTGGACAAAAGTCTTGGGACAAATTTGCACTTTTGGCTCTTTTGCACGCATGCCATACGTGAATACAGCTTCATAACCAACCTCTCCCCCACCCCCC